TTATTGATAAAAATCTATATTACATAAAGACAAATATGCAACTTAGAAAAGGGTTTATATTCGAACGATTTCCTACGTATCTTATCAACTAGTCCTCTTAACTATGAAAATCGTGCTTTTAATGTTATCAAGTATTTAATTTTTTTATGATTTTCAACTAAATTTTGAATATCCAACCGACTGCTAGCAGCCGGTTGGATATTGAATATCGAATATCGAATAACGAACCGGCTGCTAACTTCACATACATACTTTTCTATCATAGCCGGTATTTACCTTTACTCAGCCTTGGCGTGCGACATAAGCCATATAATTATCGATTATTTCTGTCACCTGTGTACAATTGTTCAATCAAACTTTTATCACTTGTCAATTATCCGACGGCTTGGTCAAAATATACACATGTTGCATTCAGAAATGTCAGTCATACGGGATTCTTTCGATACACTCGGGCTTTTACTTTATATTTAATAATAGACATTTGTAAATATCGTACGTAATAAAAATTTCGCGGGGAAATGATCATTCATGAAATATTCATGAATATTCATGAATAAAACGATGTCTCGCGTAGATTTCTTTTGATTTTCACTTCAGCGCATGGAAAATCCGCGAAGTAGTGTTTGTGATACTCATTTTCAAATTTTCAAAATGAAGTTAAATTCAGTTGAATTGTCGGTGAACATTCATTCCTTTTTTATTCAAGCTGTAATCTTTTCAAAAGGACTCAAAACTTCAAAAGCATCTTCCTAGAATCAGTATTCAAACACTAGTACTACATTATCTTGGAGCAGAACATTTGCGATAGTCTGTCACGGAAAGTTTAAGGCCGACGCCTTACGATAGTATTGCTTTAGCAAACTTCCCAAAAATGTATACACCGTTATACAATATGCACAAAAACACCGTGTTTGTTTACATCCGTAATTAAGAATTTAAGATGGCGCCCAAATCTCGCGGCAAAAACCTCGCGTGACCTCGCTATCAAACTACAGCAACTTTCAAAAAGTTTTTCCGGGCCCAAAAACTATTCAATTACGATGTAATTTTCCCTACTTTCACCCAGAAAGTAAAACACGGGACCTGGTATGACTCTTAAGGACGAAATACCAATTCTCAGGGTTGACCGAAGGCACTCAAAATTTTGAAGTGATGCCCAAAATGGCGTCCCAGCCCCTGCAGGACCAAAATTTAAAACCACCCGCAACTACCAGTAAAGTGTTATTTGGCCTGTCTCGCTGGGCTCTACGGTTACCCCAGGGGCTAATACAAGCTATGCTTAGTGTGAGAGTGCCCTTACCTTCCTACTAGGTGTCAGTCCCTGCTAACCTCGTCAGGTCCTAGATCTCAGACTCCTTGCCTTGCTTGTTCCGCGGTAAGAGAGAGATACCCTCGAAGTAGAGGCTGGAAGTACCCAACTGTTACCCTTGTGTCATGTGTCCCTTCGGATCCCTCGGTGCTGTACCAGTACCCTCGTGACAGGCTGGGGAAACCCCCTGGAACTACAAGGCAATAGACAACTTTCGAGTTCGATGCATTTCCGTCAAAAACTCTGGTTTTAGTGAACATCATTCGTGCGTTTAGGGGCATCGTCACTTCCGTTCCAACGTTGAGCGAGAGGTTGGAAAAGTATTATGCTATATTGCACGAATTATTCGGAAAATTAAATTCTCATAATTGACAATCAGCACTGCTGTCATTAGGGAATTGTGATTAAGTACTTACAAAACAGTTTTTTCCGGTGAAGGATGAACTCGAAAGTGGTCTATTACACTACATTAAAATCCATGACGTAGAAATCGCTCCCAAGTTCGTAAAAATTACTGAAATCCTACAATCAAATTTCTAAACATGCTTAAAAATACAAATCTGTGCTCCCGTAAACATGTGTGCGTAAAATGCATGCATGATCCGACATCAATGACCTTTAAAAATAAAATCAATAGTTATCGTTTTACTCTGATCAATACACATGTGCTCTGTTCAACGGTCTCCCTTGAAAAGATATTAACTCCAGACATATATATTCGAGGATCATGTGACTTCACAACACCATCATGCGCGCGGACCTAAATTTAGAATAAAACATTCAATATCCAAATAAAGAAAGTGAAACTTCCAAGATAAAATTTACTCAGTTTTCCTACAAATTCAAACAAAACGCATACACAACAAATAGATGACATAGAAAATAGAGAAAATTTATAAACGAAGGATGCTAGGATCAATTTTTACGAGGACATCTCAGGCGTCCGTTTGGCTGTGCGGGATGTATAAATACGCAGTCACGTTCGGTCAGAATATAGACGTTAAGTTCGCTGCCTCGCACACAGAAAGTGATCATCAAGATCAATCAATCAATCAATCAATCAATCAATCAATCAATCAATCAATCAATCAATCAATCAATCAACCAATCAATCAATCAATCAATCAACCAACCAACAAATCAACCAACCAAACAACCAAACAATCAACCACTCATGAAGGTGTCTGGTCCATGTGTTTAATAGAGGATGAGGGATCTCCTTTTGCTTTTCGCATGTTCCTACAGTCTAGGCCCAATGTGTTTTTTTGCCAACCAACCAACCAACCAACCAACCAATCAATCAATAATGTTTCGGAGGGGAAAGACCGCCGCTAACAACTGTATACAAAACAATAGATTTATATTATAAATGTGCAATTTTAACCATTCTAATTTACTATTTATATCCCAAAATGTCTCCCTGGCGCACACCCATCCCTTTTCTTTCGCCTTCTTTCCATTTTTTCCATTTATTAGGTCTTTCTACTTTTCTGTAGAAAGACCTATTGTATTTGTTCTGATTATTTATTAGGTTTTTCCACTTTTCTGTGGAAAGACCTATTGTTTCTTGCGGTATAAAGTTGTTTCGCAAGATGTCGCTTAGATATTTTGGATATCATATCGAACAGTTATTGAACTTTTAAAACTCATCTTGTTAAGGCGAAGCCTTGTTATTGTAAGAGTTATCTCCCCAAATACTGTTTTTCTTGTTAGTGTATCTCCTCCGTAACCAAAAAAGATAACAACAAAATTCTTTTTCATATTTGTTCATTACATCCTAAGAAATTTTTGGCTGATTTGGATCGAAGCAATCCAGTGAAATTTTATAGGAGCTATCTACCTTTATCAAATAGATTTGTCGTAATGTTTTTGTTACTCATAAACCGTAAGACTTATAAACCGATAATCTTTTTATTTGAGGTCCTTGGATAATAACATAGAAAAGAAGGTCAAGGTCAAAGGTCAAGGTCATGTTCTCAATTTTGTCTTTTGCTTATTTTTGCATTTTCTCTGATATTTTTAACGTTATACATAAAAGAACTTGTGCAAAATGTTTGTTTTATTGTGATGAAGATATGATACATTTCATCTGAAACAATCCAGTGCCATCTTATAGGAGTTATTGCCCCTGAAATGTTTTATCTTAAGGTAAATTGATTATTACTTCAGATTGGTACATGATAAAGCAATAAGGTCTTTTAGAGAATGTTAAGTGACATGTGACCTTGAAAAATATCAACCGGAAGTGACCTTGAGTGAACCGAAAGTAGTCATGTTTGCACTTATTTCATGGAAAAAATACCTAAAAAACCATATATTTTTCAAATGGGCATACATAAACCTATAATTTGAGACCGGAAGTGACATTTTATAAATCGGAAGTAGCATATTATCTCCCTTATTACAGGCATATTATATACAAACTATATATTTTTGGAATCAGTGTGAATAAAGCTATCATATGAGAGCAGAAGTGACATTCTCTAAACCGGAAGTAGCAAATTATCTCCCTTTTTACAGGCAAAAGTATATATAAACCATATATTTTTGGAATCAGTGTAAATAAAGCTATCATATGAGACTGGAAGTGACATTTTCTAAACCGGAAGTTGGCACTTATCTCCTTCATTGCAGGCAAAAGTATATAGAACCATATATTTATTGAATCAGTATGAATAAACCTATGATCGGACGCCAATAGTAACTTTGAGTAAACAAGAAGTAGCTTCTTATCAATTATTTAGAACATTGATGTGGAAAGGCCTTCATTTGTTCTTTGGACAATTGGTTTTTACATCGCGATGACCGTGAAGGCATTCCGATGTATTGTTGCGAGAGAGATTTCCATTACGTAACTTTCGTGTTTGACTGGTAACCGATATATAATCTATAAATACGCGGACATCATTGAGTGCAAAATAACATTCCTTATCGCTTGTTATAAATTCATTTCTTCAATGAATACTCATAAAATATTTTTTTTAGAACATAAATTAATAATATGAAAATGTTTTGTTATATATATATATAAGTGAAAAATCATTAATATCTATGCACACGTACAGAAAAATTGTGTTAACGCATGCGGAAGAATATCTCAAGAACGTTTGCAATCTCCCATGCAGAGTTATCGGTCTTTGATCTCTCTCAAGGACCGATAACTCTGCATGGGAGATTGAACGTTTTGCGGGAAAATATGAATGCCTACTCAAATCCAATCTATTAGAAAATCGAATTACAGAAGAATGTCCACCATGCACTTGCACTGCACTATTATTAATATAGTAGAATAGAATGATATACAAATGGATGAAAATTATATATAAATGTAACTGTAATATACAAATATTAATATAATATATAACAATAAACCAGAGTATACTGATTTGTATCACTATATGTCATTTATTTATCATCCACTCACGAACTTGTCTCAGAATTGTTTTTTTTATATTTGTACATTAACCTCACTTTCAGGTATAGAGATGTGATTTTTTTTTCTGAGACAAGTGATTGTGATCATCCACAAGAACTTGCGGTCATCCGATGTTCAGTACTTCAGTACTTTAATTAATTATATTTATGGTTATTCGGGCAGTATGTTCTTCCGCTTTTTTCCGGTCAGTAGTTTTGTTAAGAATAGCAAAAATAGATTTAAAGTTCTAACTTTTGATTTATGGGTCACGTAAAAGATATCTTGTCGTCGGTATAAGTTACTTATGTTCAGAATTAAGCTGTTCATGTAAGTACCTTGTTGTTGTAGTTTGATAACACTGAATTATCTATTATAATATACTGATGTATTTATCGTTCTACTAATGTGAAGGCGATCAGTAGATCATTTCAAAAGTTAGTTATGATGGTGTGAATTTAATATAGTAACAAGAAATTGTGTTACCCATCAAGTATTGATATTTATCAGTGACAGATATATATAATTTCATTTTCATTATGAATTATATGCACAATGTGTATTCCATTATGTTTGATATGTTTCCACCAACATGGCTGTATATAGGAGTAACTTTCATTTGACATTGACGTATTTCAACTGATCTTAGTATATAGTTTGTTCCTGTCATGTGCTGTAACTCCACTCTCCCAGGCCAAATGGGGGGGGGGGGGGGGACTTTCTTCAACATGTTTACCCCCGCCATAGTCTGTATGTTCCAGTCAGGAGCCTGTAGTTGGTTGTCGTTTATTTTATATTTGACAAATAATCTTTGTTTTTCGTTTATGGTTTTGTACATAAATCAGGCCGTATTTTTTTCGTTTGAATTGTCCTGCATTTGTCATGTCGGGTCCTTTTATAGACGACTATACGACTTGAGTTTTGTTCATTGTTGAAGGCCGTACACATCAGTTGGTCTCTGGTGGAAAGTTGTCTCAATGACGATTATAACACATCTTCTTATTTTTATATCAAACCTTATTCGCATTCTTTTTCTCTCTCGCAGGATTCTTTCACTCACGAAACTGAACCAAAAATCATAGCTTACATTGTAACACGAATTTTACAAAATTAAATTAATAAATCATTAATAAAATGCAAAAATCTGAAAGAAAAATGGTTGTTATTTGAAATATTTTTAAAATATTTGAATCTTTTTATTCAAATGTTGTTTTATATGCATGTTTAGAAGATAGGCTGATTTAAACTACATTATGTAAACAAATGGTACTCAGTTATACAACATAAAATAAGTAAATAAAATACTCCTTTTAAAATCTTGGCTATATCATTTTTTGTCAAATAACTAGATTTTTAAATAGGTATATATGTATTAAGATTCCATTGTAATTACGTCTTTGTGCTAAATATAATAATTCGTGATTTAAAGAAAATACGTAAACATGCTATAAAAAGAATGAAATAAATTTCAACCAATCGTTGCCTGATGAAAATTGTTATTCTTAGTAATCGAATGACAAGGAACAATACTTTTTGTTTTGTTATTTAGAGACTAAAAGAACATTAAATAGACCATGAAACATAAAATTTTTCAATATTTAGCCGATTAAATTCTTAATTTACGTGATTGAATTTCGTGAAGTACGAATGCTATAAAGAAATACAAATAACAATGCTTGACAAAAGGGACGATTTTTCTTTCCCTATTGTTAATTTTTCTTTTTTGGATGGTGATGTTCCTGGCACCATCTTACTTTTTTATCACAACTCGTTTGTTACGCCCTTGTCTGTAGTGACGTTTTCAATGAAAGTAATATATGTACTACTGGTAAATTATTGAGTCAAGGATTTCGTTACCACAAATTACTAAAAGCCTTTACTAAATTCTTCCATAGATATAAAGATTTGGTTTTGCAGTTCGGCTGTATCTGTAGAAGACTTATTTCAAACTGGACAATTCATCCTAATTTTTACGGAAATATCGTTTAGCGAGCCCGGAAATTTAGATACTATATATGGGTTAATTCATCGATCCTTTAAATAAACTTATTCTAAAAGGTCACCAATTCAACACTGTAATTTGATCGTTGAATACTGTTTTTATTGGTATAAATATTGATTTTGTTATCAGTAAATTAAAACCAAACTAATATTATTGTATATACATAAATAAATCGTTTAAATTGTTTTTTTGTTTTTTTTAATTTCGGGGCCTTTTATAGCTGACTTTGCGATATCGGTTTTGCTCATTGTTGAAGGCCGTACTGTGACGTATAGTTGTTAACTTCTACATCATTTAGTCTCTGGTGGAGAGTTGTCTAATTGGCAATCATACCACATCTTCTTATTATTGTAATTATTTGTTTGTTATGTAATTCTACTTCCGGATAACGGTCCGCATCATTTACCAGTTTCCCTGTCTCTGAAAACTGTTATTTTTGATTTTTGCAATTGACTATTAATAGCCATTTTATCATCAAAATTTGGAACGCATTCATGAAATTGAAAACATTATAACAATATAAATTTCCAAAAGTCCATATGACAGCTGTAAAAGACCGAGACTTTCCAAAGGAACGAAAACTTGCACATAATGAGACAGTCTGCAATAATCATGTGAATTGGAACAGTTTTATGGTTTAAAATATAAAACCCTTAATTGTCTATGCATGATTATTAAATAACATTTAAATAGCAAAGAAGCTGGAATAATTAATACTTAAACTGAATAACAGAGTTATTTAATTGTTATTCCTTAACCATAATTGATATACACACCCGTGAACAATGAACATTTAATGATAAACCTTAGACAACCCAAGACGGTCGATAAAATCAGGGTATATTATTATTTCCATACGGTGGATGTAGCCCTGTGTATAGACCGAAAGTAATTTGTAATATCCGGAAATGAAACTTTGAAAATGGGAGTCATATGAGAAATAGGTCTCCAAGCACATTCTATACACTTCCAATATATCATGTTCAACAAATCCTTGACGGCAACTTTTTAACTTTTTTTTCTGCATAAGATCCAGACTTGAAAGTTTCTAATACAGCAATTATGGACAGTTTTGCACTATAAATGTACCAATGAAGTCAACGTATTCAACACGTGCTCTTTAATACCGATACATGTAAATATCAGACACAGGAACCGCCTGGGTCTTTACCATTAGCAATCCCCGAGGGTGTCATCCGACAGGTATTACAATATTTCAGCACTGAAATGACAATAACATTATAATTTATTTTCGCAACTTATATTTTATGAAAAAAAGAGTCGAAGGGAAATTCAAACTCATAAGTCGAAAAATAAACTGACAACGCCATGGCGTATATTTTATGTACATATACAAATAAGTTATAGCTAAATTAAGTGACTACAGAGTCAATAATGTCTGCTTCATATCTAGAACTTTTACTTTAAAAAATGACGCTAATGGAACAAGCAACATGTGGAACAATCACCAACGCGATGATTTCAGTTTTCATATTGTTAACTTCCCATTCTTGAGACGTAACATACAACCTGTCCAATGCAATGGCGTTTACATATCTCAGTTGATTCGATTTATCCTGGATTATTATCGTTATTGCGATTTCACTTAACAGGTAAACTCTTACAAAAACAGTAATCAAGCATGTGTATGAAGAAAACCATAACATTTCACGTGTTCCATGGAAAAATTGGTTGAACTTTTGCATAACAACCATCGAGGACTTAAAAGCCTAAAAGAGGTAGATTTGATGATTAAAAAAACGCATTTTCGAATACGAAAATTAGAGAAAAAAGGCAATACGTCTTTTAAGGCATGCATTTTATTTAATAAAAAAATATGTAAACGTCTGAAATATATATACTAATTACTATCAAAATTCATTTTTACGTGTTATTGTATATGCATGCATAGAAGATACTGACTCTTACATTTCAAACCATATTCTGTAAACAAAGGAGTATGGCCACGAAGTCCCGATATTGGCCCTGTGAGGTGACAAAAAATAAAAGAGAAATAAGGTGGATCCATTATAGCTAAAACATATCTACGTATATTGTTATTTGTTATTATAGTATAAAATCATATTTTTGTGACGTCATTTATGTGACGTAATACCCGGAATCAAACCGGAACGCTCAAAATGTCCAAATTCTTAAAGAATTTCACACTTCCTGGTTAAATTTCGCATTGGCCACAGGCCTCGACCAAAGTAATTTTACTCTTATTTTGATTGTTTGACACTTTGACTCAGTTTGCAACAATATTTAGCGTGGTCGAGGCCTGTGGCCACATCGAAAATTTTAACTTTTGCAAACAAGCAAATCCTGATTCAACGCCGCCATTTCCGAGGTACGATAGATTCTGTGACGAAATAATTAACTGTACCAAGAACTTGTACAATTGCTACAAATAGAATAAATTCTATAATTTATTATTCTCTTATTTATAACAAACAAAAAAGAAGAAAATGGAATAACATGTCTTTTTTAGCGAAGCTTCGTTAACCGCCGATCTGGCGAGGTTTTTTACGTCCTCATAACTGATGTGATTTCCGAGTATTATCACTCAATACTAATACTTCTAATACAATGAAATGCTCCTAATTGTACTAACTTACCAAATATCCTATGATATGCTCTGGTAATATATTATTCGTTGCGTCCTTATTCCCGCCAATACGCCAACTCTCGTTACCTGGTAACTATCTGAGATCTTATCCTGAGCTGGGTAGTTTACCATGGATCATTCCGGGAACCGGGCTATGCGGTATATCTAACTACCGTACTATCTACATAGTAATGTCACGTCCATTATACCATATTACACAACACTCCCCCCCACTTTGAAAGGAGTGAGTTAACTTTCTATTCGAATATTCACTATCTTCATTTAGTCCACCCCGTCTGTTCGCACCACGGGGATACAAATAAATCTCCAAATATATCCAACGTTGACATTTCAACGACACACATATATTTTTCAAAATTCAACAATTGTTCCGTCTTCGCTCTGCGGAGTTATTTTAAAACTAACATATCATTCCTTGATATATATATATTACACACAATCTTCACTGTAATGTCCAATCAAAATTTACAACTGATTTCCTTCTGCTCTATATGTACATCATAGTATCCTGTCTTATATTTTAAATTACCTTGCGGTACTAGAGTCCTGGCACCGTGGACATCTAAACTTTACCATAGTGTCCGCCAGCTCTGGTGTCAAATCTACACAAGCTCCATGGTACCACTCATGACAAAAATCACACTGTATCATAAACAGTCCATCATCTGGTTTTCTGCACAAACAGTACAAGTCTGGGTT